GGCTGCCCGCAGCCTCTGCAGCGCCGGTTCGTTCCCCGGCTGCCAGCAAGGGTCCCATCAAAAAAAAAAAAAAAAAAAAATGGAGCTACCTCATGACTATTTCACATGTAACTGCCTAATAGAAGGAGTTGAGTGGTCAAGAGTTTGTTTTCCATGGGCCTCCCCGGTGGCGCAGCGGTTGAGCGCTGGGTTGCGAAGCTGCCCGCGGCCTCTGCGGTGCCGGTTCGATCCCCGGCTGCTCCCCGGCCACCAGAGGAGGGTCCCACATGGCGCGCAGACCTCTCCTGCCGCCCGCTGCTCCCCTCAGCAGTGTACTTCGGTCCTTCTGCCTGCTCTGCTCCCCGCTCTGGCTCTGGTGAATTCTCTCACCCTCCCGCGCTTCTGACTGTACCCAGTGCATGTATAAACAAAACAAACAAACAAATAAATAAATAAATAAAACATGCCTCTATTAAAAAAAAAAAAAATTAAAAAAAAAAAAAAAAGAGTTTGTTTTCCATGTCTTACAGCAGTGTCCCTTGCCACATGGGCCATGTCAAATTGTCACATGCCGTTCTGCTGTAACCTGCGATTATTTTCCTGAGTGACTCAGAACTGTAAGTCAAGACTGTAGATAATGGTCTATTATAGCACCACAAAATCATCAATATTTTATCAGTCTTTAATCAGAAATGACAGGTTGTTCCACAAATACCGATGTGATTTTACAGATAAGGCAATTGAGTCACACAGGGTTGAGGTCGCATGCTGGTTAGGAGGGAAACCAAGATTTCTTGCCAGGTCACCTGGCATAGGAACCCAGAGAGACTCAGTCTACACACTGCTATGAAGCAATGCTTAAATCTATGTGATTCTAAAAAAAATGTTAGAAATAGGAATGTAATTGTTGCAGACACTACAGAAAACTGTATGGAGTTTCCTCTGAAAAATAAAAATCAGAGTACAATATGATCCCATAGTTCTACTTCTGGGTATTTATCTGAAGGAACCAAACATGAACCTGAAAAGATATCTGTATCCCCAAGTTCACTGCAGTGTTATTTATAGTAGCCAAGATACAGGAACAACTTAAGTGACCATGGATGGATGAATGGATAAAGGAAATGTGGTATATCTATATATGGAATATTATTTAGCCATAAAAAAGGAAATCCTGGCATTGGCAACAGCATTTATGGACCTGAAGATAACAGCTGAATGAAATAGGAAAACAAATAATATATGGTCTCCCTTAGAGGTGGACTATTAAAGCAATAAATGTATAGATACAGAGAACAGATTGATGGTTACCAGAGGTGGGTGAATGAAATGGGGGGAGGGACCCGAAAGGTATGGAAATTGAGTTACAGTCCTCGCTAGTGGCGCAGGGGTTAAAGACACAGTGCTATCAAGCTGTCGCCACCCACTGCGGCATGAGTTTGATCCCGGCCATGGCGCAGCAGACCTCTCCTGCCTCACCCGCTGCTCCCCACGAGCGGTGTATTTCTGTAGATCTGCCTGTTCTGCTCCCTGTTCTGTCTCTGGTGAATTCTCTCACCTCCCACATCTCTGGTCTGTACCCAAGTTCTCATATGCATAAATAGATAAATCTTTATAAAAAGAAAAAAGAAATTGAGTCACAAGATAATCAAGTCCTGAGGATGCCCTGTACAGCATGGTGACTACGCTAATACTGCATTGTCTACTTGGAAGTTGCTGAGAGAACAGATCTTAAAAGCTCATTACAAGAAAAAAATTGTAACTGTGGTCATGGATGTCTCATTAACCAAGCTAACTGCAGTGGTCGTTTCATAATATGTACATATTTCGTCAATGTCCCTCACTGGGCTGGTTGCTGCGGTGTGCTGTGGCCACATGCTGGGCAGCACGTGACATTGTAAGACACAGCACCACCCCCCACCCCAGACTGTGTGCGAGGGCTTTCTTTTAAGAGGCTGAAACCAGCTACTCTCTTATGGTGAGTGAATGTCCCTCCCCCCTTTTAAAATGCTTGGGTTTTGGGGCCTCCCTTCCAGGGGGCACAGGGGTTAAGTCTCAGTCCTATCGAGCTATCGCCAGCCACTGCAGCCTGAGTTCAAGCCCCAAACAGGGAGTTGCTCACAGGGCACAGCAGACCCCTCCTGTCTCTCTGCTGCTCCCCTCAGCAGTGGATTTCAGTGGATCTGCCTGTTCTGCTTACCACTGTGCCTCTGGGGAGTCCTCTCACCCCCCGCACCTCTGGCTTGCACCCCAGTTCTCCTATGCGTGAATAAATAAAAATAATTTTAAAAAATAATAAAATGCTTGGGTTTTCTTTGTGTGAATTTCTTAATATGCATATTGGGACAGAAAAGCATTGTGCCCTATGTCTAGGGAGCTGCACCACAGAAACTGAAGTTCTGCTTCTCTCCTCTTGGAGGTACGTAAGCATGGAGAGGATAAAAAGCAGTGGGGGTAGCTCTTCTATGGAGTAAGTTATTTTTGTGATAGTGATATTATCGTGAATACAAATTCATTGAGAGTGGATGATTTATTAGTGAATAATTAAGCTGCCCAGATAGGTGGGTGATGGACACAGGCATGTCTGGGGGGGCTGCAGCGGGCTCCGGCGCTGCGGCACCCAGCCTGTGTCTCATGGCCGCTCCACCAGCGTCAAGCGGGCGAACGCTGGCTCAGGGCAGAGCATGTGTGTCTGGAAAGTTGTTTCTTTTAAGTTTGAGGGGAAACCGTGGGCCTCGATTTGGTGGTCAGGCCACAGGAAAGGGCCGCTCTCCCACGCGGGGGATGCGGGGTGAAGGTCTGGAGCAGGCGCCGCGGCTCAGAGCCCAGGTCTTGACGCTTGGGAGCTGTGCGGGCACGGGCCGACCTCTCCTGTCCTTTGTGGCTGGAATGCCTGGATGGAAATGTGCCAGGCAGCAGCCGCCTCTTCTGTGAAGTACGTCGTTAACTACGCGTGCCTAAAGGTGCAGCGTATGTGAGCGATGCTTTCTGTATCGGTCAGTGTCCTCACCTGCCAGCTGGACTAACCACTAGGCCTTCTGCTAAGGATATTTCCTGGAAGTCCGGGGAGCTCACAGGCTGCCGAGGACGCAGGAGAGATGAACTTGGGGGAAGGGCAGGAGTCAAGGATGCTGTGGAGGCCAGCAGGTCATGTCCAGGCCACTCCCTGAACTGGTCTGCCCCTTGGGGTGCTGCCCTGGGACACTCTGACCTCCACATTCCCCTCTCCCGGCCTGTCTGCTCCCAGGCTTCTGGGTTCTGGAGTCGAGGCTGTTTGGCAGAGGCCTTCCTGCCACTGTCTGGGGAGTGTGGGCGCGTGGCCATCCTGCCGAGATTGCCTCAAGTGGAAAAACTCGCAGCAGGGACTTGTGGTGCTCCAGATACGAGGTGTGTGGAGCTTGGGGAGTCAAAAAAAAAAATCACTATTTGTGTAAGACTTCCGGATGCCCTCGAAAACTTGTAGGCAGAAACGAGCTGGTTGATGTTAGCAGGGCAGCCACACTCGCCACAGCCAGTCTCGAGCTGCCTCATGACTTCTGCGCGTGGCTGGGAGATGCCCACTAAGCCACGTGCGTTTCGGCCGTCCAGCTGCAGCAGGTGTGGAAACCTCAAGTGCGTTCGTCACAGTAGAGTGTAGTAAGAGAATTAGGCAGGGAGTTTTGAGTATTACCTTTGTTATTAACATAATTCATTACACACTTAAGTTTGATTTTAATAATAGCTGATTTGTAACACGTGGCTTGCATAATTTTTGAAGATTTAACAGTTGCCGCGAGCGTCAGCACCATCAGCCCGGGCCAGTGCCGGCCCGGCTCTGCCTGGGAGGTGACTGTGTAATGGAGAGAGACCCTCAAGCAGGGAGCTGCTTCGTGCAGAGGCCGGGGGTGGAACTCTGCACAGGAGGGGCTAACCCTGGGGAGCCTCAGCCACCGGAGGAAGGTAGCAAGTTGCCCCGCAAAACGTTCTTACCCAAAACCCACTCACTTTTGAGCCTTACAACACTCACCTCCGAGCTTGCAGCCCACCGCCGTTTCTGGCCTCTGCTAAGCCTTGGAACCCTCCCGACCCGGGAGAGCCGCTGGCTGCAGGGCTCCGGGCGTGTGTGGGATGCCAACTTGAGCCCTGACGGCTCTGCCCGGTCTGCGTTGTCCCAAGGACGGGCGGTGAGACCTGCCGTGTTCACAGCCACGACAGACTCCACGGTGGCCCCAACGGCCATCATCTCTGGAGTTGAAGGTCTTGTCCCCCAAATTCTGTCCTCAGCTGTGCGAACAGGCATCGCAGAAGCCAGGTGCACGCCTTCCCAAGGCGGCCGGAAGGGGCAGGAGCTCCGCCCTGCTCCCTTGCGCACCTGCTGGGGGGAAGGCCGGGTGCTGTGAGGCGGCGAGTGGAGGCCCGCAGGAGACGCAGCCAGCCCCCTCCGCGGCCCGGCAGTGGCCCCTCCACCGACCCACCGACCCCCGCGGGCAGGAGAAGCCTCCGGGCAGAGCTGCCTCCCCAGGCCTCGAGTCCTCGCAGCAGGGACGGGGGCATCCGGAGTCTGTGTTCCAGGCACCAAGTTTCGGGGCAGTTACACAGCCCTAAATAAGCCGCCCCCCCCCCCGTGGCTCCAGAGGGGCTGCGGCGTCCCGCGGACAGAGGGCGGGACTCTCAGGCCCTTAAGGAAACGGGTTTCTCTTGCTTCCCGGGAGGCTGACTCGCCAGCTGCGCGGGCCACGGGGCTCCCCGGCCCTGGACGCCCGCGCCCCGCCCGGCCGTCGGCGCGGACTCCCCGGGACTCCCGCGCGGGCCGGGCGGGAGGGGCGGGGTTCCGAGCAGCCTTGGCGAACTAGCGGCCCCCGCGCCCCTGGGAGGCCGCCGGCGCCCGCCCCCGCCCGCGCCCCGCCCGCGCCGCCGCTGCCCACACCTGCCGCGCCCGCGCGCCCCAGCGCGGCCCGGGGAGGCAGCGGCGCGCCCGGCGGCGGCGGCGGGCCCCGGGGAGCCCGGCAGCGGCGGGGTCCGGCGCCGCCCCGCGCGGCGGCATGGAGTGGGAGCTCAACCTGCTGCTCTACCTGGCGCTCTTCTTCTTCCTGCTGTTCCTGCTCTTCCTGCTGCTCTTCGTGGTCATCAAGCAGCTCAAGAACTCGGTGGCCAGCACGGCGGGGGCGCTGCAGCCGGGGCGCCCCTCGCTGCACCGGGAGCCGTGGGGCTTCGCCCGCGAGCAGGCGGTGTGACCCGGCGCGCGCAGGTGGGCTCCGGCGGGCAGGGCGCGCAAAAGGGGCTCCGGGGGCAGGGCGCGGGCAGGGGCTCCGGGGGGCAGGTGGGCTCCGGCGGGCAGGTGGGCTCCGGCGGGCAGGGCGCGCTCAGGTGGGCTCCGGCGGGCAGGGCGCGCAGGGGGCTCCGGGGGGCAGGGAGCGCGCAGGGGGCTCCGGCGGGCAGGGCGCGCTCAGGTGGGCTCCGGCGGGCAGGGCGCGCAGGGGGCTCCGGGGGGCAGGGAGCGCGCAGGGGGCTCCGGCGGGCAGGGCGCGCAAAAGGGGCTCCGGGGCCAGGGCGCGGGCAGGGGGCTCCGGGGGGCAGGTGGGCTCCGGCGGGCAGGTGGGCTCCGGCGGGCAGGGCGCGCAAAAGGGCTCCGGGGGCCAGGGCGCGCTCAGGTGGGCCGGCGGGCAGGGCGCGCGCAGGTGGGCTCCGGGGGGCAGGGCGCGCGCAGGGGGCTCCGGCGGGCGGGCGCGCAGAGGGGCTCCGGGGGGCAGGGCGCGCAGGGGCTACGGGGGCAGGTGGCTCCGGCGGGCAGGTGGGATCCGGGGTGCAGGCGCGGGCAGGTGGGCTCCGGCGGGCAGGGCGCGCGCAGGTGGGCTCCGGGGGCAGGGCGCGCAGGGGGCTCCGGGGGGCAGGGCGCGCAGAGGGGGGGGCTCCGGGGGGCAGGGAGCGCGCAGGAGGCTCCGGCGGGCGGGGCGCGCAGAGGGGCTCCGGGGGGCAGGGCGCGCAGGGCTCCGGGGGGCAGGTGGGCTCCGGCGGGCAGGTGGGATCCGGGGTGCAGGGCGCGGGCAGGTGGCTCCGGCGGGCAGGGCGCGCGCAGGTGGGCTCCGGGGGCAGGGAGCGCGCAGGTGGGCTCCGGGGGGCAGGGAGCGCGCAGGGGCTCCGGGGGCAGGGAGCGCTCAGGGGGCTCGGGCGGGCGGGGCGCGGGCAGGGGCTCCGGCGGGCAGGGCGCGCAGAGGGGGCTCCGGTGGGCAGGGGGCTCCGGCGGGCGGGGCGCGCAGAGGGGCTCCGGTGGGCAGGGCGCGGGCAGGGGGCTCCGGGGGCAGGGCGCGCAGGGGGCTCCGGGGGCAGGGTGCGCGCAGGGGGCTCCGGGGGGCAGGGCGCGCAGAGGGGCTCCGGGGGGCAGGGAGCGCGCAGGGGGCTCCGGCGGGCAGGGAGCGCGCAGGGGGCTCGGGCGGCGGGGCGCGGGCAGGGGGCTCCGGCGGGCAGGGCGCGCAGAGGGGCTCCGGTGGGCAGGGCGCGCGCAGGGGGCTCCGGCGGGGCGGGGGCGCAGAGGGGGCTCCGGTGGGCAGGGCGCGGGCAGGGGGCTCCGGTGGGCAGGCGCGGGCAGGGGGCTCCGGGGGGCAGGGCGCGCAGGGCTCCGGGGGGCAGGGCGCGCAGAGGGGCTCCGGGGCAGGGCGCGCGCAGGGGGCTCGGGCGGGCGGGCCGCGGGCAGGGGGCTCCGGCGGGCGGGGCGCGGGCAGGGGGCTCCGGCGGGCAGGGCGCGCAGAGGGGGCTCCGGTGGGCAGGGCGCGCGCAGGGGGCTCCGGCGGGCGGGGCGCGCAGAGGGGGCTCCGGTGGGCAGGGCGCGGGCAGGGGGCTCCGGTGGGCAGGGCGCGGGCAGGGGGCTCCGGGGGGCAGGGCGCGCAGGGGGCTCCGGGGGCAGGGCGCGCAGAGGGGGCTCCGGGGGCAGGGCGCGCGCAGGGGGCTCGGGCGGGCGGGCCGCGGGCAGGGGGCTCCGGCGGGCGGGGCGCGGGCAGGGGGCTCCGGCGGGCAGGGCGCGCGGGCAGCGCTCCCCGGAGGCGGGACGCAGGCCCCCACGGGGTCCCGGCTGACGCTGCCCTTCGGCGGGCCCGCGGCGGGCCTGGGGTGGAGACGCGGCCGTTGGAGCCGCGGTGGCGCCTCTGTCCCGCCCGCCTGCAGTTTGGACTCCCCTGGGGGCAGGACCCGGTGGCTGAGCGCCTTCAGCAGCCACTTCCAGAGCAGCCGGCGCCAAGCCCCGCTCCAAGTTGCTGCGGAAGAGCGGGCTTGGCGGGGGGCCGGGGCCGGGGCGCGCGGGGTCCTCGGAACGCCGCTTTGGGCGTCCCCGCGCTTTGGCGGCCGGCCAGAGGGTCCCCTGCGGGGGGGAGGGCGATTTCACCGGGAACCCTTCCACCCCGCCCCCACTCCGGTTCTGGCGCGACCGGGTGGTGCCCGCGGTTGTGGGGTTCGGAGCCGCCGGGGCCCGTCCTTCGGGTTCTGGGGGTGCAGGTAGGTGAGCCCTCGAGGAGCGCTTCGGGCAGGCGTGGCGGGCACTGGAGGGCGAGCCTCGGGCGGAAAGACTGGACGTGGCGTCAGGAGACGAGCGCCCCGGGCAGGGTCGGCGGTCAGTTCCTCCCCAGACGCCGGCCCGAGAAGGGTCGCGAGGGCCCCGCTGCAGGCTCAGCCCCTGGGTACGTTCCGTGCCAAGTGAGGACCAGCCGTGGCTTCCTTTTGGCCATGGTTGTGGCAAAGCTTCTGAAGACCCAAGACCTAAAAAAGTGAAAAGCAAGGATGGAAGAAACGGGTACAGCAGCAAGGGCGCTGCCCGGCGAGGACCCCAGCGCGCGGCGGGTGGGGCGCGGGCCTCAGGCCAGGGCAGGGCCCGCAGACCGAGGAGAGGCCGCGGGAGCCTGAGAGCTCAGGGAAGGTGATGCGGGCGCGTGGCTTGAAACACAGGCCGCGTCTTGTCTCCAGGGAGGGAGGACTCTGTTCGCTGGCGCAGGTAGGGCCCAGCGGGGTCAGGGTGGGGCAAACTGCCCTTTCCTGACTGTCACATTGAGAATATTAACTTTAGGTACAAAGAAAGCCTCTGCGCAGAGGCTACGAGCAGCGAAATACCCACCCCTGCGTAAGCTGACAGCACGAAGGGAACGTGGAAAACATTCAGTTTGATGATTCAAGGGGAGGAACAATAGTGGCACGTAGCTGAATAATTACGGGGGAAATTTTGACCTGAGAAGTTAATCATGTCCGTGTTTTCTTTTATATACATGTATAGACGACATCATTGTTCATTTTTGTACACGGTCTGGTTTCTCCTCCCAGGGCTGTCCCCATAGGATTCCCACCACCAAGCCAGCCGTGGGTCACCATAGTCCCTTGTGCTCTTCCGCCCCCGTTTTCTTTCTCACTTTGCCAGAATGAACCTGTCTTTTAATGAAGTGAGTGCAGCACTCGAGCAAGTAAGACTGGACCTGACACAGCTCAAGTCCCGGATCAACAGCCGCAGCTGAGATGTCCCTGCAGCCGTGGCTCCCGCCTGCTGAGCCCCTCTGGGACCATGGCCAAGCGGGTGTGTGGTCCACATGGGCACGGCGGTGTCGCGCAGGCAATGAACTAACAATTGCTGTTTATGGGGCTGGGAACCTGCCCCTTTATACTTGACTTAAAACTTAGAACACAGGTTGCTGAGCTGCCTGTTTGATCCCCGGTCTGGGGGCATTTCCCTCTCCCCAAGTGCCCAGCGTGGAGGTGAGCCACCAACCCTGCTGGGCACAGACATGGGGCACGGGGTGGGGCATTCGGGGTGCTGCAGCCCCAACCCTCTCTTTTTGCTGACTCAATCTCCTGCAGAAAAAGGGGTTACCATCTTGTGTCCTGTGTCCAGCGCATTTTCCAGCCTCCTCGCAATCTAACTTGCCAGGCACTGAGTTTCCACTCATCCTGGCAAACAGTGGACACTTATTCCTACTGTCCAGTCTGCCTGGAACTTGGCCCTAAACTGTAGATCAGAATTCCCAACCTTTGTCTCTGAACTGACCGCGTGGTCACCTCCTGGTGCGATGGGCCAACCGGGGCTGCCTGCCTGGCACCTTTGTCCGCTCCTGTGTCTTCAGGGCTTGGCACAGGCTGGTCTCCCAGATGAGAGCCACTTCCGTGCCCACATGCTTGCCACCAGAAGCCACCGGCCGCCTGGGGCATGCCGCCAGCGCACTGCGTCTCCAGAGACAGTGTAGACACGAGCTGGGCGTTGGAGCACTGGGAAAGCGAGGAGCATTTTAAACAACTGTTCGTCATGTAATTTCATTGCAGAAGATTCCTATTCCTATTTATTTCCAATAAGAGGTTTTCATTGATTCTTCAGCAATGTTAGAAGCTGAGTTGAGCTTCTTACACTATAAGGAGATGGGCTGTAATTAGCAGCATTCTATTAGTGTTTTACTTTATATTCTTATTTCGTTGTTGCTTCTACATTCCAGCCGTCAAATGACTTCACACTTTATTAGGACAGTTTTAATTATTTCACTTTCCGGTCTTGTAATTGCAGTAAATCTGCAGTTCTGCTTGGCGAAATAAGCATTTTCCGTTGAATGAGAATGACATCACACTCACACCTGCAGAATCGAAAATGTCTAATGAAGTAGATGCCTATGTCTGAACCCCAACTTTAGGGCACAGCTGCCGACCGGGGCCGGTGCCATCTGCTGTGGGTCCCCAGCACTGGGGACGCGTCTCTCTGGGAGTGTCTGGCGCTGGCTTTTCTGGGAATGACGAGTTGCCAGGAGCTGTTTTTGGTTCCCTTGCAGGGGCGGAAACTTGGAACTAGGTGAGCACAAAATATGCAGTACTCCATTTTTAGTTTGACATTCCACGCTTCCAATTTTGTCTGTAGTTTCAAAGTAAGTGAAATATATATATTATATATATATATATATATATATATATACACACATCTCCAAAATTTTAAACATTGTAAATGGTTAAACCAGGTAGGATACTAGGAAATGTTTACTTTTTCTGACTCATACCTGGTGATCCAGGCCTTTCCAAGCACTGAGAGTGCCTTGTAGTACAGAGAAGGTATCTGCAGAGTATTTTGTTTTAAATTTTACTGCTAGTCTGTGGTATTTGTAAGTTAAATCCATGGTTAAAATTCTGGAGTCATTAGGAAGTCACTGCCAGATTTTAAAAATTATCTTTGATTTTATTTCTTTTGGCTTGATTCAGTGAAATAAATTCTAAATTCTCCATTTCTTTGTCTACACAGAATAAATGAAGTTGTGGGTCCAATATTGACCTGATTAACTGTATGGATAGTTAGCATTTACCTTACTGGAGTTTGATCAGACTTGCGTTTAGAGCTATGATCAGAACATACTTGCGCTCAGAGGACACTTTTGATGGTCACACTAAAAATGTCATCTTGTTGTCCTTAACAGCAGTGAATTCATGTGATGAGCCTGGCCGCTTCTTCCCTCTCATCTGTGTCGCCAGATCCTGAAGACTTGGGTGAGTTCAAGCTCAAGCTTTTTTATTCAACTTGGCTTTTCCCTGTGACTGTCAGGTGACTTGGCCTTCCTGCACATGTGCAGGTCCATCAGGCAAGATTCCTTGTACTTTCAGAGGAAATCTTGCCTTCTGGCTGGGAATCACGATGGACGGTGAACTCCAGAATAGCTGGTGGCTGGGCAGCGGCTCTGTCAGAGCAGGTCCCTTCATTTCCCATGGAACCAAGAGGCTGGGGCCGCTCTGGCTCAGCAGCTCCCAGCGTCGGTGGCCCTGAGGCTCCCGGTGGTGCCGGGGCACTGGCGCCCCCTGAGAAGCCTGGACACCCGGAGCCAGCCTGGCCAAGCCAAGGCTTCCCCTGCCCACGCTGGCTGCGGTCTCTGGCCCAGCGGACATCTGAGCTCTCCTGACAAGAGGGGGTGATGCTGGGTCTGGGGGAGCCCCTGGCGGCCTCTCGGGCTGGAGAAAGGCCGAGGGCGCAACACAGCAGCTTCCCAGGAGCTCCGGCTGCGCCCCACACCAGGGCTTCCGTGGGAGGCTCCTGGGAAGCTGCTCCTCCGGTGCACATGGTCCTCGTGTGGGGTCCCCCTGTGGGGTCCCCGTGTGGGGTCGGCATGGGTGGAGTGCCTGGCCTCCCGACAGAGACTGCTTGTCTGTGACCCCCTCCCACACGGGGTGGGGGTGTCTGGTAAACCCCTGGGATGCTCCCAGCCACGCAGGAACCGGAGGAGAAGCACTTCTCAAAGGTGCCCTCCCCAGCCCACTCCCCGGGGAGGCACCGGGAGGAGAAAGGCTTCCACCGCAGTCTGGGCAGCAATGTTCTCCATCTGCCCTGCTGTGCCCAGCAGGGAGGCAACGTTAATTTGGGCTCATTCTAGTTCATTTAAGTGCAAAGAGCCGCATGTGGCTGGCAGCTTGTGCCCCCCCCCCCAGAGCGAGCACCTGGTGTCTCCCGTGCATGAACAGGAGGCCTGGCCCCGCCACTGTGGGCACCCAACCCTGCTGTGGGCCGGGGCGGGGAGCGGCGTTTTGGCACTAAATTCAAGGCTTCAGCTTGGCATCTGTGCATGGCACGGCACCCTCCTCTGAGAACAATGGCCCCTCGAGTGGTGGGCCTGGGGCCGGCCCCTCACCCAGCCAGGTGGGGGAGTTCTGTCAGTGGGCCTCTCTGTCCTGCCCCGTCAGCAGGCCGCTCGGTCCTGTCCTGCTCTGTCCCTTCCCTGTCAGCGGGCCTCTCTGTCCTGTCCCCGTCAGCGGGCCACTCTGTCCTATCAGCAGAGTCACTCCGTGTTGCTTTGTTTTCACACTATTATGGCTGCTAGGCGATGATTTGCATATGTTTTTCAAAATAATTAGTGTTTTGTATTTTTTAAACACTGAAATAAATGATTTTATGTAATTCAGATTTTTGCTCTGTGAGTTACTATTCACACTTTGTTAAGCATCAATTAACTGTGATTAATGGATAGAAGGAAATAGTTTTATTTGAGATCTCCTTTTAATGGGAAAATCATCTGCCAATTAATGTTGTCTTTTAGAAATATTAAGTGACTCTTCCACCGGCTGTCCTTCCTCGGGTCTCTCAGTTGCTCTGTTTGGGTTGCTTGTCTCTTCCTGATTCCAGGAACTCTTGGCACATGCACCGACAGTGTCCCTTTGTCAGATATATGCCTTCGCACGATTTTCTTCTACCTGGAGGCTAGTCTATTAGTTTCCTTAACATTGACTTTTACAGAGGTGTTTTTGTTTTGAACTTAAATTTATCACTTTATTTCTGTCATGTTTACTGGTTCCTTTGTCCTAAAATATTCTCCTGTGCTTTTTCTTAGACTATAAGGTTGATAGTTTTAACATTTAGCTCTCAAATTAATTTTTGTACGTGGTATAAGATAAGGATTGAAGATTTTTCCACAAGCGTAAGCAATTTCTTTCTCCTGTTTGTTGAAAATACTTTCTTTCCTTATCATTTTGCTCTGACATCTTTTTTGAAAATCAAATGACCGTATAAGTGGGGCGCTGCTTCTGGACGAGTCACACTGTCTTGATTGCTGTGCTGTCATAGTAAGTCTTGGCATTCCCCCCAAAATGCTATGAATCTGAACTTTCAGAAAAAGTCTCACTAATGCTGAGTCTACATACAAGATGGGGCTTGAGTCATCTCTGGTGAAAAAGGTTAAACCAGCAGCCCCGGTGGGTGCTTCATGCCCCTGCTCAGGCTCCGGCTCCCCCCAGCCTGATCCCCAGGGTTGCCCTCTGTCTCCACTTGTCCCGATGGGCAGGAACATCCTCGTTTCTGTCCTTGCAGTTCAGAGGACACTGTGCTTTGAAAAAAGGACTTTTCACTAGAGCCAAAGTGACTCAAAAGACAGCGCAGAAGCTCAGAAGGAGCCCTGCCCAGCCAGCCCAGCATGAGTCTCCTAGACGGCAGCAGCCTGAGCCAGGACATCGCCTCCGCCGTTCCTGGTGTCCGCGGGGTCTGCTGCGGGCGCCCCTGGCTCTGCTCACAGAAGGGAGCTGAGTTTGACGGCACAAAATTGGTGTCCCTGCCCCAGCCCTCCAGACGTGCCACCTCTCGGCCTTGCCACCTCCGCCCCAGCCTCAGCTGCGGTCTCACCCGCAAGGAGGAGGCCCGCCCGCCTCCTGCCCCGTGGCGCCAGCTGTGGCTCAGTCCATGGCGCCTCCACTGCAGGGCCTGTTTGCCAGGCCTTGTGACCAGTTATCCTTCTGACGTGTGTCCACATACACAAGTTTTAAGAAATAAGGGCGGCCTCAGACTACAGACATTCCGCATTTGCCTGATTCTCGAGTGTGCTCCAGCAGGTCATTTCCGAAGGATAGCCACGGCCCTCGCATCCAGATTGGCTACGGGTTAGGAGGCGTTGAGGGCTGAGGTCCCCGGCCCTGCCCTTGGGTCTGGGCAGCTTTGTGACAACAGCAGGGGCGTAATCCCCTGTGTGGTCAGGTCAGAAGAAGTGATGCTGTTTCTCCACCGTGTGCTGAGCACTGTTTGGAGTCCCCCCAGATCCTATAAGGTTGGGGTATCCTGAGGTCACCAGCTTTCTTTGTCCCAGGTGGAGGACGTCCCCTGTGTTCCAGCTTCAGCCTCCAGCCCAGACACAGACCGTGGCCGGGGCAGCCGCTCCGCGGAGGCCCTCGGGGGCACGGGGCCAGGCTGCGGCGTCTAGCTGGCCCATCTGGTTGGCACGTCTGGTCCAGCACCTGGCTTGGGAGCTTGGGTGGCGGGAGTAATGGGCACGTCTCTTAAGATGTTTGAATGAAAACTGTCATTTTCATTATTTTAAGTTGTATAAATCCTCAGCAACATTTAACTGGACACTGAACTTGTCGCCAATTTTTTTGCAGATGTGTTCATAAAGTATGATTACTGAGATTCAGAAATCTCTAAGCAGTGGATGCTGACAATCTCCATCCACTGACCCGGGCTACTTGGGTCTTTAAAAAAAAAAATGTCATTACTGTGAACTACAAAAACAATAAAGATTTCTTGGTCTGACTTGAAAAAATCGAAGGGTATCTGTCCCTCTTGTTTTGTATTTATTGCCTTTGTAACTTCCTCTCCTCCAAGTGCCCGGTCATGCCCTTTACCTAGTTTTCTAATCGGTCGCTTCTCTGTTGTAAGGGACTTGCCTGTAGTTAGATGGATAATGACCTCACCTATGTGATGCTCGTCCTCA